GGGATAGCGATTATCTCCTTTTACAGTTCGCCAAATTGTTTGTGGTGACACTCCCAATACAGCCGACGCATTCCGAACGCTGGTCTCAGGATGATTGTCAAAATGTTGTAAAATACGATTCCCTGCCTGCAAATCTCTTCGTAACGCTGCTTGAAATCGGTTGTTTTCTTGTCGAATTGAAAATGTTCCAGTCTCTCGCAATCTATTAAATGTCAACATAAACACTCTTCGGTTTGGCACTCTTCTGTTTGGAAATCGTCGTGCATATTCTCGCACCGCCTTTAAAGCATTACCGTTGCAGAAACCGTATACAAAAACCATATCAGCATATTCACTATTAGAATACGTACGCGGCATATTGCAAAAGACAAAATTCATCTACTGTTAAAGGCTTTCAAAGAGCGACTGACAAATTCATAACAGAAAGTGGAAAATGTAATCAAATATGTCGGTGCTAGATATGGCAAGAAATGTAAACATTTTTTTTCGATTTCTCTGAAACGGAGCAAAAACGAGCATATGTCTATAGGACTTTTTTTCTTAGTTTTTTACTCCTCTACACGCTCCCGAAGTTTTGCCATTTAATTTGGAAACACCCTGTATTATGGTTGATTTAAGAATAATTTTTTTCTGCGTATGTACAATTATTTATAATTCCTATAATTATTTAATTCCTGTGTAGCAATTTGCTTCATCGTCGCTGCTACTTGTTGCGGTTCATTGTACTGGGCTGAAGACACTAACAGTATTCTCGGATTGTCTTCAGTATTTGTTGCCATGATGAGTATAGGCGGTGCAACCGTTGTTAATATCATTGTCGATAATTTTCCTACATATCTAAGGTATGGCAATTAACTTATCATTAATTATATCGATAAATAAGAGTCCTATACGATCGAAGCTAGATCTTAAAATGTTTTAAATAATTCAATCTTGAATCACTAAATATGATATATATGTACTTGACATATATACCACAATTGTAGTCTAATGAACTGTGCACCGAAATATTTCCGGACTAAACACAATTAAACCACTATAGTAAATTTCGCGAATTAAATTATAGAATAGAATAGAATTGAATTTATTTACACTTCAGCATATACAGCCAAGAAGGGGACTTGGTTTACAGAAAAAAGCTTATCTCATTCATACTTTCATTCCATTTTCATTCCTCATTCGTGTATGCACATTTTTCTTTCACCCTGAACTTATCCTTTTGTCCTCTATCTATCTGTCGCTCACATTGTATATTAAATCTTTCTTATCTTAAAATTAAATTTAAACCTATTTCTATACCTATATCACATTTGTTTACATTTAAATACATATATACATATATATACATACCAAGCAATTATAATTACCTATATCTAAACATATATATACATACCTAACAATTATAAATACCTATATCTAAACATATGTTACATAATAATATCTGAACCCTATTTAATTATTTTATTAACCACTCGGCCTACCTTACTTAATACCTATCTAAAGTTTTGCTCGCTCTATATCCTCCGTCCGTGAGGTTTTCTAAAGTTTTCAGTTCCTTATCCTTACATTTATATCATTCCTAATTTGGTCTTTTAATGCAGCTTACATTTCTTCCGCGTTTCCAGATTTTTTTCTCTGTCCCTATTCATTCCTGCCTCTATCTTTTCCTTTCTTTTTATTATCCTCCTTTCCCTATCCTTCCAAAGTTTTTTTAACGCTTTTCCTTTAGATTCCCCTAAATCTTCATCCCAGACTTTTTTTATAATCTCGTCATTGTCTATCCCTAACTCTTCGAAGCAACCACTTACCTCCTTACATTCTTTAACATAATGTTCTAAATTATCCTCATCTTTATCACAGAAAAGACATGTCCTCTCCTCTTTTCCTAGCCAATACTTGTTTTTCTCTTCCATATTTCCACATCTTAATTTAATTAATGCTCTTATCTCATCTCCTCTCCTCCACTCTATGTTCTCAGTCCTCAGATAATTTGGTACCCTATTCTCAATACTTATCTCTTTATATCTCATATTATACTTTGACCTATCTATTCTTTCTCTTTCTCATTGCCTTTGTAAATCCCTTTCTCTATTTATTAAATCTTTTTTTTTCAAAATTTTCCTGCCCGTGACCCATCACTTCTCTAGAATTTATTCCCCATCCGTTTCTATTATAATAGCTCTCTCTCTCTCTCTATACCGTATCTATCTTTCCATTCATAGCTTTGTTTCTCCTCCCAACACTCCCTGACTAACCTACCTGTGTTACCTGATTTAATCTTTTCCTCGAATTTTCTTGCCCTTATACCCCATCCCACTCTGAGTTTATCCATTACTAATTCTCTCATAATTACGTATCTAGGTGTGCAGAAATCCAAATTAAATATCCATCTAATATAGTCGAGCATTATCTTTTCCAATTCCCCTTTTTCCTCCCACCCCCATAACTCTACTCCATAAGACATTACACTCTGTACCAAATATTTAAATAGCATCCATCTCCTTCTGAAATCATTTCTACATAACTTTTCTCCTAAACCCCACACCTTTCTTGCCACCATATTTTCTTTTCTGTTTAGCTCCTTAATATGCTTTTTATAATTCCCCTTTCCGTCTAAAATAAATCCTAAATATTTAAATTCCTGTACCTCATCTAGCTCTTTATTCCCCCATTTCCATTTCTCTTTCCTTTTTCTCCCGCTTCCTCCACACATTATTATTTTCGTCTTTTCTGTGCATAACTCGAGTTTCCTCCCTTTTGAACGTGCTCATCATATCCTGTAGCACCTCTCTATTATGAGCTATCAGAACTAAATCATCCGCGTATGCCAACGACCATATTCTTTCTCTACCTATTCTAACTCCTGCTATCTCTCTTATCTCTAATTCTTTATCTATATCCGCAATGTATAAATTAAACAGAAGTGGACTCAACACACAGCCTTGCTTTACTCCTTTCATCGTTCTAAATTGTTTGGTAAATTCTTGCCTTGTCCTTATCCTCACTTCCATCTCTTCATACATATTTTCTATCTTCCTTATTAGATATTCAGTTACTTCTTTGTCTCTAAGTATCTCCCACAGTTTACTCCTATTTACCTTATCGAAAGCAGCTTTTAAATCCGCAAATATCATATATACTTTCCTCTTTCCTTCTTCCTGATTTACTTCCCTTTGTGCCAAATGCGTCAGTATGAAAATATTATCCAGCGTTGACCTTCCTCTTCTGAAGCCTGCTTGACTGTCCGGGATCATACCTTTGCTTTCCTCCTTTTCTAGTCTTGATCTTATTACTTCTGCATATATTTTATACGCCGTACATTGTAGCGAGATATCTCTGTAATTCCGTACCTTCTCCTCATCTCCCCTTTTATATAATGGGACTATTATACTTTCCTTTCAGTCTTGCGGCATCTTGCCTGTTCTCCACACTTTTTGCAGTAGGTACACTAACCTTTTTCTTAATCCTTCACCTGCATATAACCATGCTTCCATAGGTATACCATCTATTCCTGCCGCTTTTTTCTTTTTCATCTTGAGCACTGCCCTTTCAATCTCTTCAGCCTTCAGTTCTTCTTCTTCCCTTTCTTCATTATTTGCTTCTTTATTTTCTTCTTCTTATTCTCTTTCCATTCCTTTTCTTTATTTTCTTCTCTATTTGCTGCTATATCACCTATATTTACTTCCTTTTCTTTGACATTTTCTTCTTCTTCCTCAAGCATTATGTTTTTACCCGTGCCCTGCTGTGCAATTGTTTCGTCTGCTTCTATACCGTCTAGTAGCTCCTTAAAGTATTTCCTCCATTCCTCCTTCTTTATACTATTCTCTTTCCATGTCTTCTTATCTCTCTTCCTATTTATATATTTCCACACATCAGCTTCTCTCTTCAATTTCTTCAATTCTTCCTCTTCTTCTTCCTTTTTGTTTTTTTGTTTCTTCTCCAGTAATTCTCTAAACTCCTTCCTCTTTTCCAAGTGTTTCATACTTGTCACCTTACCATTTCTCCATTTCCTGCATATTCTCTTTACCTCTCTCTTTTTCCTACAGTAGTACGGTTAATATCCCACCAGTCTTTATAACGTATACGCCTTTTCTTCTTTTTGATTTTCTTCTTTTTTACTACATTGTTGAAAACAATCTGTTTGATTTCCTCCCACATGTCTTCGACGTCCTTCCCTTCATTTCTAATGTCGTTTGCCATATCCTTTATAATCTCCGTATTCTTTTTATAGCTCTCAATGACCTCTTTATTCCATATTATAATTTCTTCCTTGATTCCGTTGTCTTCTTCCTCTTTATCCTCTTCTGCACCGTTTTCAACTGATCCCTCATTTATTCTTTCTTCCAGTATCAAGCATATTGGCATGTGATCGGATTCCACTCTCGCATCTATCCTAAATTCTACTATACTATCATATATAGAGGGTGCGTTCCTTTATTTACTGCAAGTACTGATGCTATGACGTCAAAAAGTGTACTGCCAATAGCGTTCCATTTTAACTTCGAGAACTATCGAGGTGTTGCAACTTTACAAATCGGAACTTATCGCAGTACGCTTCGTTCAACTAACCAAGTTAACGTACATTACGTCCACTGACCACTGTATATTATTAACATTGTTTGTTTTTCGTAAACAATGAGTGAAATACTCAATGAAAATATAATTGCATTTATTGCAACTATACTAGTAGAAATTATAGCTGAGGATGAATCAAGTGATAGTGATAGCGATACAGAAATCTACAATAAGATAATCCTTGCCATTTTCAGCTCTTTTTGCATCCTCGGGACTAACAATTATTTTATATGATTCATTAGTTTCACTATCGATTAAGGTTATCTCTAAGTAAGTAGCCATCTTGAACTGCGACTGCTTTACCTCGCTGGCTGCAGTAGTTTCAACAGGAAATGACATCAAAATTCATGATGTCATAGATCTGTACAAGTGCTTTCGCAGTACACTGTAATCCATTTTGGAACGCCGTTGGTAGTAGTGGCAGTACTTGCAGTAAATAAAGGAACGCACCCAGAGTCGTTAATCAACGCTAATTCTATTACCGAGCTACCCCTTACCCCTACATATGTACTACTGTGTCCAAAAAGTAAGACCAATTTCAATTTTTTTTCTTAAATATTTATTTATTATTTCAAATCTATTTCGTCGCCTTCAAAGTAATCTCCCTCAGACACAATACACTTATGCCAACGTTTTTTCCAATCCTCGAAACAATTGTTAAAGTCGATTTCCGGAATGGCCTTCAAAGCTTTCTTCGATTCAGCTTGTATCTCTTCAGTCGAGTTAAAACGGTGTCCCCGGAGCGGTCTTTTGAGTTTAGGGAATAACCAGAAGTCACACGGTGCTAAATCAGATGAATATGGTGGTTGTGGAACGATATGGGTCGAATTTTTAGCAAAATGGTCTCGAAGGACCAATGCAGTGTGAGATGATGCATTATCGTGGTGCAAAAACCAAGAGTTGTCTTTCCACAATTCCGGCCTCTTTTTGCGAATAGCTTCATGCAAACGACGCATAACACTCAAATAATATTTCTTGTGAACAGTTTGGCCCGGCAGAAGGAATTCATAGTGCACAACACCACGATAATCAAAGAAAACTGTCAACATCACCTTGATTTTCATCACTTTGTCTTCAACTCATTTTCGGCCTTCTTTGAACTGTTTATACCACTTGTAAGCATTTCTTTCCGACAAAGTCTGCTCACCAAAGACTCTCTGCAACATCCTAAACGTTTCTGCACAAGAAATTTGATTTCGCAAACAAAATTTAACGCAACTTCTTTGCTCAACAAAATCACACATTGTAAAAATCGGAAAAAACACTTTTTGCGTCGTAAAAAACCAAGCGCAGCTGAAACACTAATGTCGTTTATGATGTGAAGTTTGACACAGATGTCTGTCACAGTGCTACGAATTTAGAAAAAAAAATATTTCTCACGTTCGATATATCCGCGCAATTTAAATTGAAAATTGGTCTTACTTTTTGGACACAGTAGTATATTCTCCCTCCCAGTCCCCATTTATTCTACCGTTCAGAATATGCCATCCATACTCCGTTACCCGTTCTATAAATTTACCACCTCCATTACCAATCCATTACCTTATCCTTGCTACATCTGTCTTTCCCCCCGTTCTCTAAGTCTTCTCCCCCTAATTCTCCTATTCTAATATTAAAATCTCCTATAATTATATTCTTACCCTCCGTGCATTCCCCCTTTATCATTCCTATCTTTATACCTAAATTTTTTCCTCCTTGATCCCCGTATATAGATACTATATCCATTCTTTTACCGCCAAATGTTATCTCTGATATAATTATTCCTTCCCACTCTTTCCTAATTAGACTCCTGTCCTCCTTATTTCCCCATCCTATCCGCTTACCAATTATAAAACCACCTTTTGCCCTACCTCTCTTTTTCTCTTTCCTAGCATAGCTGCAAGCCCATTCATGCGTCTTTGGCAATCTATCCTTCATTGCATTCCAACCTTTTTCATCTAACCATGTTTCGCTCAAGCTCACAAAATCATATTCTTCTACATAACTCGTCCTGATTTTTCCCTCCTGCTCCTGCGATATTCCATAATAATAATTTTCTTTGTTTTTTCTGTTCACTTCCCTTTATCCTCTTGCTTACTCCTACTATCTTATTATTCTTCTGTATCCCTGACTTCTGCCTCTTACCCTTTTCAACTACCTTTCCCTTTCCTTTATAATTATTTAATCCTTCTTGACTCCAGCGAAATTTTCATTTCTAATTTGATTTTGATTCTCATCATCCTTCCCCTCTACTTCTCCCCTCACTCCCTCGCCCGTCCTTGTTACCTCACCTTCCTTATCCCCCTTTTTCTTCCTCTTCTCCTGTTCCTCCATCTCGATTACATTCCATATTCTACCTATTCTTACTTTACCTAGTCCTACTTTTATATCTTTCCCTTCACCCCTCTGTTCCTTAACCTATTTATTAATCCTCTCTTGAATTTTTCTTTCCTCCCAACTTAAATCATTTTCAATAAAAATACTACCTCCTTTTAATTTATACTTATTCCTCATTATTTCATTCCTTTCCTCCTCACAGCCTACTCTAACTACTATCACTTTTCCATTAATCCTCGTGAATACTATATTACATTCTACCCCTATTCTTTCCTTTATAAATTCTTTAATCCATCTTTCCCTTTCTCTCCCATCTATTTCTATCCCTCTCGGCTTTTCTATTCCTTTTATAATTATATTTTTTCTCCTCTCCTCTTTTTCATTTTTTGACACCCATTTCTTTTAAACATTTACCTCCCTATAGCTTAAACCCCCCTCGTTTATCATAGATCTTGCCCTTGTGGAATTACCCCCTCCCCTACCAATACTTCTTACACTTCTTCCCTCGCTGTCATAATCCTTCTCCTCTCTGCTTACCCTGTCCTAAGCTACTTATGTCCTTCATGTTTTCTTCCATTTTCTTGTTATTTTCTATCAACTCTTTCTTTATTATCTTTAATTCTTTCCTGACCTCCTCTAATTTCTCCTCTCTTTTCCTTCCTTCTTTTAATTTCCTGATTTCCCTATCCACATCTTCTTGTATATCCCTTCTTATTCTAGCTACCTTTCCACTATATCTCTCATTTCTTTCCTCACCTCTTCACAGTTCTTTCTAATCTCCTCATTTATTTCCGTCATTATACTTTCCTTTAAGCTTTTTTCCTATGGCATATCGAAGGTTACTTTTTTAGAGCCTACCTGTCCTTTATCACCTGTCAATAATCTCTGTTTATTGTCCACTTTATTCTTCCCTACCTTACCGGCGGTGGCCATCTCTCCCGCTTCCCGCGTCTTCTGCGCGTCTTTTCTATCGCACCCTAACCTAATCTACCTCACCTCTTCTTATCACGCTTGATTCTTTTTAACACTTGCCCAAAAAACCTCTCCTCCAATTACCCGCCTATCGCTTGCTCTTGTACCGCTTGCTCTTATCACCTCACAGATGAGCCTCGCGTTGCTTCTACTTACTATAAATCGCTTATAATATTTTGAGATTCGCACTCATGCATGCACTCTCACTCACGCCCTCTAACCAAGTCCGCGAATTAAATTAAATTCTAATAATTACGATGCTCAATCAGCTATCATATTTCAAAGATATTAATATGCTGAAAAACTGTAATTTAAACTTATTGCGAAAAATATTACCTCGGCCGGGAGTCGAATCCGGATCTCTTGTATTCCGTACGAGCGTCCTGAACCATTAGACCACCGAGGTCTTAGTAACCTTTTTAAAAAAAAAGGTAAAAAAAGCGTTAAGTGTGCATGCTTCTCGTATGGAAACCACCATTTGGGCCGGTTTCACCAACGTCAATTACTTAATCGGCCGTGGAACTGATGACTATTAAATTGCGTTTGCTGTTTGATGAAATTCTTTGTATATGATACATTCCAACCCAAGTTATAATGGCTTTATTCCTCTTCAAAAATACCTAGACACCCACTTCCTCAACGGCAAACATCTAGACTTTTAATTCCTCGACGACGAACACCTAGACGTTTAATTCCTCGACGGTGAATATCTAGACACCCTCTTCCTCGACGCGGTAAATACCTAGATCTTCAAGGACAATCTCGAAATATTTCATTTCAATTTTAATTAATATTTCATTTTAATTTTAATTAATAATTTAAATTTTAATAATAATTTTAATTTTAATTTTAATTTTAATTTTAATAATAATTTTA